TGAGTCTGGCCGCTGAGTTCAGGATAGACTGAAGCGGGGATAGTCTGTGATGAGGTAGGCCGGTGAGAAGGGAGTTGCAGTAGTCCAGGCGTGAGATAATAAGGGAGTGAATGAGTTGTTTAGTAGTGTTTAGGGTTAGGAACATACGTATTTTGGAGATGCTGCGGAGGTGGAGCCTGCATGAGTTTGCCAACGATTGGACATGGGGTTGGAAGGACAGGTTTGAGTCTAGGGTGACACCTAGGACTTTGGCTTGCGGGGTGGGACGGATGGTGGCGTTGTTGGTCGTGATGGAGAGAGGGGGGGGGGGGGGGGCACGGGCTGGGGGGAAAATCAGGAGCTCGGTTTTGGAAAGGTTCAATTTGAGGAAATGGAGCGACATCCAGTCTGATATGTCGACATATGATCAGTTATGGAGTATTTGTAAATTATCACCAGTTCTATAAAAAAAAAAAAAAAACCCGAATGACCTGTTTGTGAGGTAGACTAGATTGCAATAAAGCCATCCCTTTTGTATATATTGATTATTATTGCTATTTCAACTTAAAGACTTTAACAGTCATGACACTCATTGCCACTAAAAGGCTGTATACACAGCTGTATCTGCTGAATGGTATTAAGCCTGCCACTGAATGTTCTAATAATGCCATGCGCTCAATGTCTATAATTACATGATTTAATCGAACAAAGTTTAGATATTTCAAAGTGGTCAAAGGTCAGGCGGCTGTGCAAAACATATGAGCGAACAAGACAAATGTTGAACACCGTGTACTCAGTCGATTTTTCCACAAAGGAAAAAATAAGACAAGGTCTCTGCAATATTGCATACACAGAAGGAATATATCACAGACAATTGGCAAGTTATCGAATTGCTAAAGACAAAAGAAAATGAGAGACCTAATCACAGACTGTTTGCAGGAAAAAGTGCAAAATAATATAGCAAAGCCCGTACGTATAATTGGTTGAGAAACTAACCGAAACCAAAAGTTTTCTGGGCTGTTTCAAATATAGGGATATTTGAAACGTAGTAGTACCCCTGAGCTGACCATATGCTAATAGACTAACAATTCTACATTTAATGACTGTCATTTAAAAGTTTCAAAATTTAGTTTGCTTTTAACATTTTGGAATGAATGTAATGTCTTGAATAAAAACTGCATACTCTGTAAAAAATTAATTTGCTCAAGAAAAATTTTCCATCCTGTTCCTTTTGAATGTTCTCTTCACTGTGGTCAAAAACGCATGTTAATTTGACCCCACCAGCAATAAGAAAATTGTATGAACTTTCTTAAAACAAAACATTTCTAAAGAAATGCTGCTAGTGTATGGCCAGCTTTAGACATAGCAGATCACATACGAGTATATGACCTTGTGGCATGAGCATATTGGACGCTCAACACATAAGAGCCATTGTTGGATATGTTCAGCTTTATGGAAAAAAAAAAGTGCAGAAAAAAGTGCATTTATTATTTATTTGAGTAGAAGCTTGGAAAGCATTGCACCTGTGATCAGCAGAATCCTGCAGACATGTTCTCTGGCTTTCAGCCCATACTTATGTAGGAGCTTTCTGTTTTGTAAGCTGGAAGACATGTCTGTGGACTACAAGAGCACTCATCATTGCCCTCACAGCCCATTGAATCTACAAGTCCATTTGCCGTGGTAGGAGAAGAACCCCACCATGCTGTAGGGGAAGGGGGATCACTAGGAGAGCAACAGGAGATGGAACATGTTACGCGTGAAACCTGCAACATGTCCCAAAGGTGAACTTAACCTTTAAAATCATATAGGAGTTGTGTCTAAAGGACAGCAAGTAGAAGAATCTGCCTGTCACATACCTCAATTTTTTTTTCAATTATCTTCTGTGGCCATAAATTAATTACTTATACACAAGGCTTTTTTTCAGCAGGAACGTGGGGGAACTCAGTTTCGGCACCTCCAGTGCTAAATGTATGTAATGGCAAGGAGTGCTGGGGTGTGCTGGACAGTCTATTGATGGTGGCTGCTAGGGGATCTATTATTGCTGGGGGAGGAAGAATCTCTTGATGAGGGAAGGGTTTATTTTTGCTGAAGAGTCAATTGTTGCTGGGAGGGATCTATTGTTGAGGGAGGGGTCAGTAGTTGATGCTTGCTGAGTGATCTATTGTTGCTGGTGGGAGTATATCATTGCTGGAGTGGGTCTACTGTTGCTAGGGGTTCTTTTATTGCTGTACAGCAGGATATCTTTTTTACTACTTTATTTGTTTTCTTGAGCAAATTCCATACAAATTACTTAACACCACAAAATGATAATTGGTTCTGTATTCAATAAAGGAGAGATACTGGTAGGAGGGTAGGCAGTGAACCAAAGGATGGTGCTTGTAGGTAGGTAGGGGGCAGAGACAAGGGGTGGCTCGGAAGGAGGGAGTTCCTGCACCTATTCTCTGAAAAAAAAAAGCCCTGCTTATACAGGAGTGTTTTATTAATCTACATCTTCCGTTTTTGTAAGGCAGGCACCCCAAATTGGAGCCTGTGATATAGGTGAAATGTCCCTACTAATATCAGAAGCTGTGTTTGTGTCATTTTATAGAGTAGAGGGTTGACAACTCTAAGAACACTTAAGCAAAGAATCTGCACTGTAACATAATGCAGAAAGTTCAGCAAATTAAATTATTGATCGGAATGCTTTCAAGCTGAGAAATTCTTGCTTATTGCCTCTCATAAGTTAACTGAAACATAATGAGACTGAAAAGGTTATAATCAATATTTCAAAGTAACCTGTTTATTAACTGGAAAATTAAATGAGTATCACACATGGGACACTGAAAGAATGGGTATAGCAAACAGACACTTTATTTTTCTATGATTATAATTACAAATAAACATAATAACGTATTATAGAGATCCCCATCAATGTCTATTAGTGAGGTTTTATAGTCTTTGATGTCTAAGGAGATTGATTGCTAAATTGGGCTAGATTTAATTGTTTATACACTGTAGAATGAATGACCAGTTAATACAGGACTGTCATTTTAGAAAATGCCTGAAAATAATTTAAGGCACAGAATTAATAGGGCCAACAGGATGAAACTGATATTTTGGTTATACAGTACATGCACTGATTGCCCATTGAAAAACTGTGCTCATACTCCAGGCTGCAAAATATGACTGCTAAGTAAATCTTGGTTTCAAAAAGCACTAAATTGTTTGTCTGTGTCAAAAACAGAGCAATAGATGAGTGTTTTTCTTTTTTTTTTTTCAGACCAAAATTTACAGAGCAGAGTTACATTATGCACATTTTTCTGTATATTAGTGTGATTTTGAGAGGTAGGTTGTACCTCTTCACACTACTGCCACATAATATTCATAGCTGACAAGATTTAGATGTCTTATGGATGCTGGTGGCAAAATATTACTCCTTCTGCCATCCTAGTGTCATAGCAGTAGTTTTACTCCTTTTTCTGCAAATAAAAAGCCTAATTTTAGAGATTCCCTACATTGACCTCAATAGCTGGGTCAATCAAGTACCTGACGTGCAGAGATCTTGCCACTGGAATCCCTGAGAAGTAGCACAAATGTGGGTGTCTGGGTTTGCTGAGGTCTAATCAAAACCGAAATACTGTTTTGGTGTACATATCATTTAAAACATCTTGACTGAACTCAAAAAGTTTTGGTATTTTGGTGTACAAATCCTTTAAAACATCTTGACTGAAGTCAAAAAGTGAAGATTTAGGGAACAGTTAGAAATGTTAATTGCGCCTAAACAGTACCCTAGACGTGTACATTTTATTTTTAATTCCTCCCGAAAATAACCAATGCACCCCCTGTGCCAGGAGCCTCATAGTTGTATATCTGTAGTGTGAGGCGCTGCTTCCTCTGACTGCTAGTCCTAAAATATGTGTAGTAAGATTTGGTGAAGTCACTTTTGTACAGCATCTGTTCTTTTGGCTGGTACCTGAAAGTGGTACCTGAGGACCTAAAGTGCAAGGATCTTTCTACTTCTCTCTGATAGTCTGTACTTCCTCAAATTCTCCTCCTGATTCTTAAATAGTACCACCAGTCAATAATTAGGACAGCTCAGACATGAGGAAGTAAAACCCTGCCTCTATCAAGATGGCCACCTACATGCAGAGATATGCTGCAAATCAAGACATAAGTCAATAATGTGGAAAGGAACAGCTACAGTGAGCCAACAGGCAATGGAGACAATTAGTGTTCTGAGCTCTGCTTGACTTTTTTTGGGCTCCGTTCAGGTCCTCCTAAAGTACATCACAATAAACCATGTAACCCAAGGAAACTAAGATCCAGAAGGTTTTAATACTGCATGCTCTGATTAGGTAATTGAACATGTTGATAGTTAAGATTCACGAGACTGTGATTAACTTGTTTCAATGAAGAATCGCTGATCTCTGATATAACACCCTTGTATCCAAATGCTTACACATACCCCATACCTGACAATGCAGGGGTTTTTTTTTTAATAAGCTCCTCCATGCCTGTACACATTGCTCTGCAGTCAACAATGTATAGCCAGACAGATGATAAGGAGCCAATCAAGTTGATTTACTAAAACTGGAGAGTGCAAAATCTGGGGCAGCTCTGCATAGTAACCAATCAGCTTCCAGGTTTTTTTTGTTGTCAAAGCTTAATTGAACAAGCTGAAGTTAGAAGCTGATTGGCTGCCATGCACAGCTGCACCAGGTTTTGCACTCTCCAGTTTTGTAAATCAACCGTAGTTTGTCTGGTTCATGTAAGCTTGTTTGATGGAGAATCATGGACAAACATGAGCAAATGCTAACCCCCAACAGTGGGACCAGTAGCGCAGAATCTAGCTAAAAATGTGTATGTTTGTGTGGACTTTGGAGCATTTTGTACTTAGAAATTTAAAAATTCCACAAAATAAGGAGAACAAACATAATCACCCATGTCAACACTAGGCAATGTATTACCAATAAAGCTTGTTCTAGATCAGATTGATATGTGTTGCAGTTCTTATTATAATTAATTATGACAATGTTGTATAGGATACATGCTTATTGGAAGTGATGTAAAGCTGAACAGTCCATCATCACTGATCGGTCAAGCCTTATCTGAGATCCTCCAGAACCCTGACCGTGCAAGAGATGCTCTTAGAGTTTTGTTGCATCTGGTAAGATTTTTTTCACTTGGTTATAAATGATGTAATGTTTTCTTTTTTTTTACTCAAAAGAGTTAAAGTACACCATTACTTCAGAGAGTTGCGTGTTTGTCATGCAGCACTTCTCCTCTTTAATTCTACCTTGCTATTTGTATTACCTTAGTGCACTTAAGGTGCCCAAAACTGTAGAGAGTGGTCAAACATGCAGGCCTGATCGGACTGCCCTCAGGGACTGGCGTTACTTGACTATCATAAATACAGGAAGGCTCAACTTGACCAACCTTTCTGATATGTAGAGAGAAACAAAAGATTCTCATCAAGAGGAAACACTGGTGTGTTTCTAAGCTATAGCTATTTCCCCAAAGACAATGGTATCTGTGTGGCAGTCTTTTCAGCAGATCTGGCAACTGTAATGTCATGCCTATAGGTACCTTTAGGCTGTTTAGAGAATTTGAATGGATATACTGCATGAGGCCAGAGATCACAATTCCCAGTCTTTGCAAACTAATGGAGCTGTAGATCGGGCTGAACCCTTGAGGCTCTGCTCTATAATCTATAGGGCATGGTCAAACCAGAAAAGCATATTATGTTTTCTTTTTTAACTTTATTCATTTATAAATTAAATAATTTTTTGAAGACGATAAGAAAGCCTTTTTGTCCCTCAGGGCATAAGCATGGACCTCAGTGCAGGCCGCCTCTATGAAAAGATGGTGGCGCTGTCACCAATCAACAATGATATTAGGCAGGCATTCTGGGGGCACAACTAGGATTTGTATAAAGGAAACTCTGTGTTCCAATCAAAATATCAGTATTAAACATTGAAAAGGCTTTTGTTAAAATGATTCCAGGACAGTTTTTTTTTACATACATGTTTTAAGTATTTTTGAAAAGCACAACAAAGTTACAGCAGTTGTGCCGAGGATGCTCGGTTTTAATTTACATTGCTGGGGTGTATTGCCTCACTGTTCCCGGGACAGGTTTTCTTGAAAGCTGGGGTGTTCTTGTTTTTGAACTTTCATGATATAACTCACCATTTCTTTTTTGTTGTGTAGGTGGAGAAATCTTTGCAGAGGATTCAGAATGGACAACGGAACTCAATGTACACTTCCCAGCAGAGTGTGGAAAATAAAGTAGGTGGAGTACAAGGCTGGCAGTCACTGCTGACAGCTGTAGGGTTTCGCCTTGACCCACCAGCAAGTGGTCTCCCTGCCGCAGTTTTTTTCCCCACATCTGACCCCGGTGATCGTCTACAACAGTGTAGTACAACCATACAGTCCCTCTTGGGTAAGGATTTTCTTTTGGAAGCAATATGTTTTCCAGAACAATACACATGAGATAAAATGAATTCAGCAAAAGTAAGCAGATGGCTAGACATAGTCTATTACACCTTAATTAAACTTTCTAATTACCAGTAAAAGCTAAGAAAGGAGCAATAGCTAAACCAGTGTCAGCAATAACAGCTACCTGAAATTAATGTCAGGTGAAAACACAATGTGGTTGACTTACTAATGGCAAATAGGATGTTTGCCTTGCAAGGGAAGTTGCACTTTGCAAAGGAATGTCTCCAGAGCTTAGCGAATGCGGGGAAACTTCACTTTGCAGAGAATACCCAATCATGTACAAAAAAAAAAAAAACAGCATGCTTTCTTGCCCATGATTGGGTGGTGGAAATCAGCAGAGCTTCACCTCATTTACTAAGCTCTAGGGTTAATTATTTTAGGGCAGCACAGTGGCTAAATGTTTAGCACTTCCACCTGGCAGTACTAGGGTCGTTGGTTTGAATCCCAACCACAGCACCACCTGCCTGGAGTTTGCATGTTCTCCCTGTGCCTGTGTGGGTTTCCTCCAGGTATTCCAGTTACTTCCCACAATCCAAAGACATGCTGGTAGGTTAATTGGCTCGTGTCTAAATTGTCCCTAGTATGTGTATGTATGAATGTCAGTTAGGGACCTTAGATTGTACGCCCCTTGAGGGATAGGGACTGATGTGAATATACAATATATATGTAAAGCACTGCGTAAATTGATGGTGCTATAGAAGTACCTGTAATAAATAAATTAAATAATCTTACAAGGTCAATTCCCTTTCAAAGTGAACAGTCCATCGGCCTTTAGCAAATCAACCCCAATATCTTGCTATAAATTACCCTATCTACTGTATATAAATAACATCTATGATGATGCCTACTTACAGACAATCTGTAAACGAATGTCTATTTCAAACAAAATTACAATTCTACCTAAGGTTGCACTACTGAAAAGGGTCTTGCCATTAACGTTTTTAAAAATCTGGTGTCTGTGTACAAGTGTAAAAGAGAGAGCTCTCTGTTAGAAACACATTATTGTTTTATGGACATTTTTACTCAGCTGTTTATCGATCCACACTGTGGATTGCCAGACACACTGAGTGATTGTAGCATTGTAACTACGTTTCCTTGTTTTCATTTGTTTATTGGGTAACATTATAAACTATGTAAAAGCACATTTGCCACAACATTGGGCAGATGAATAAAACTTTTTCCAGCCATTTTATTCTAAATGTATAGGACCACAATTGTCAGACCCTTTTCATTTATCTTTTTGCCAAATTGTACAGGGGTTAGACAAAAAAATGGAAACACTACATGATTTGCAGGTGGGAAAGTGTCGTTTTGCGTTGAAAGCGAAGGTGATGTAACACTCTTTTGCCTCTGCTGTGTGATGAGACACCTAGCTAACAGGTGGGAAGCCTCCCTTTTATCATTCTCTGTGTGCGCTGCTAGTGATACGGAGTCATTTCAGAGCTCTGTTCTTCAAAGAGCGCAGATTGTCAGTGCCCACTTAGCTGGCTCCGTTGCCAATTTATTTGCAGTGTCACGAGGTACAGTATCAGAGGTTATGACAGCATATACAGTTTCCAAGAAAATGCATAAGCATGGTCGACATGGTCAATTGACTGATAGAAACAAAAGGACATTGCACAGAATTGGGACCAGAAAAAAGAAAACAACTTCTGCAAAAGTGACTGCAGAGCTCAACCTAATTCTGCCTTTTCTTTCTTTCTCTTTCTTTCTTTCTTTCTTTCTTTCTTTCTTTCTTTCTTTCTTTCTTTCTTTCTTTCTCTTTCATTTTTTTTTTTACAAGCAGGCAGTATAAGGACTGGTTTTAACCATTTGCCGCCCGCCCTATGGCCGAATGGCAGGCGGCAAATGTCATCAGCGTTTCGGGTGGACTCCATATGGCGGCCTCCCGCACATGCGCAGATTGCGCTCCTGCAGAGCGGCGCTATCTGTCACCGGCCGTGTACCTCGGACACGGCCGATGACAGATCTGAGTATCGGCCCCTTTGCCGGTACCATGTGACCTGCTGTGACCAATCACAGCAGGTCATATGACAGTTGTATACAATGGATGGCTTCATTCATGCCATCCATTGTATACTACTGCCTAGCTGTGAATGGTCACAGCTAATCACATGCACATGTCATGTGATTAGCTGTGGCCAAATCACAGCTAAGCACAAAAAAAAAAAAAAAAAAAAAAACCCTGAATGAATCGATGTCATTCAGGTAAATGCTTGCTTATAGCAAAGTAATTCTTTGCTATAAGCAAATTGTGTAAAAAAAAAAAAAATACTGATCACTTCCCAAAGTAGTACAATGTTACTATGGTAACATTGTACTACTTTGGTCATAGTGAAATATGAAAAAAAATCTTAAAAAAAAAAAAAAAAGAAAAAAAATATATACATTTTTTTTTATACTGTCACCAGTCAGTGTCCCTGATCACCGCCATGCCAGGTATATGATGATGCTGTACTGCACTGGTGACAATATGTAAAAAAAAAATTGTGAAACTAATTTTTTTAATTTGTTAATTTTCCAAAAAAATTATGACAAAAAAATACAACTTCAAAAAACTCGCCATGCCTCTCATGAAGTACGTTGGACTGTCTACTTTGCAAAAAGGGGTCATTTGGGGATATCTGTACTGTTCTGACATTCTTGGACCTCAAGAAATTAGATTGGCTGTCAGTACTTCAGGATTGATCAATTTTCAGATCTATACCATAGTTTGTGAACTCTATAACTTTCCTACAAACTAAAAAATACATCCTAATTTGGGTTATTTTCACCAAAGACATGTAGCAGAATACATCTTCGGCCTAAATTATGAATGAAGAACAATTATTTATTTGCAAACTTTTATAACAGAAACAAAGAAAAACTTTTTTTTTTTTCAAAATTTTTGGTCTTTTTTTGTTAATTTAGCAAAAAATAAAAACCCCAGAGGTGATTAAATACCACCAAAAGAAAGCTCTAGTTGTGTGAAGAAAATGATAAAATTTTAGTTTGGGTACAATGTTGTATGACTGCGCAATTGTCATTCAAAGTGTGAGAGCGCTGAAACCTGAAAAATGGCCTGGGCAGGAAGGTGTAAAATTGCCCGGTATTGAATTGGTTAAAGAGAGTGATCACTGTGCCAGTCACAGGCTATCATGTATATGTATGAATGTGAGTTAGGGACCTTAAGTTGTACGCCCCTTGAGGGTTAGGGACTGATGTGAATGTACAATATATATGTAAAGCACTGCAAAAATTTACAGCGCTATACAAGTACCTGAAATAAAATTTAAAAAAAAAAAATTCAAGCATTAGGGTGATTAACTTGTCATTGCATTTCAGGTTTGCCTCATGCAGCACTTCAGGCTCTTTGTAAACTCATCACCGCTTCCGAAACTGGAGAACAGCTGATTAATCGGGTAAGTTGGATTTGCTCTGGCATCTTATTTAATATCATTTTGTATGTTCCTCACAAATGGAACCCATGAAATTCTTAGCAAACCACTGGAAAACCATGCATTCTTTTCAGACTAATAGGCTTACTTGTCCATGCAAGTAAAGTAACTCACAAAGTGACAGGAGAACCTTTTCTGACCATTCAGTTGCTCACTGACTTGTTGTTGTGGGTTACTGCACTTAGTATATTCTCATCATCTTGAGGTCTTATGCTGACGTTGTGTAGAAAAAGCAGAAGTGAAGCCTACCACAGTGACATGGGTTGCTATGGGCAAAAATTGTCTTTTATTACACCAGCCCTTCTCTGTTTTATATTTTCTTACATCTATATTTCAGTATAATTTGATTTATTAATCCACTGTAACTCTTGCTAACACCCTTGAAGCCAACACCATTAGTGCATGGGAAATTGCAGGCATGGTTGTGAGCAGAGTGATCAATATTATTGCTTTATGAATAATCTATAATTCTGCATCACGTGTCTACAGCTGTCCATCACATTGCATATAATCTGATCTGTGTATGTCCTTGCAAGCACAGTAGAGGCAGTTCTCATTCATGATTGGTGTGCCTGTCTAAAACTATGGGGTCTAGATTTACAACCGGAGCTGCTGGTTGTATTTGCATGCTGTCTGTGTTGTAGTCTAAAGAGCTGCACTGAGAGCAAGTACAGCATGACTGGGCAGCATTGAACTACTGTCTGTGTTTCTTCCCTTTGCCTTTCCAAAGCTAGTCAACCACAACATAGCCAAATATATATTTTCCTACATCACCCACTGACGAGGCTTTTTTAATAGTGCAGTAACCCATTGCACATGTTAATACATATCTATTAACATACGACTCACAAGACATTATGGAATTGGCTGCAGAGGCTGTATCTATTGTGACATTTCCCTGATTCCACTAGTATTCAATGGGGTAAATGAAGTAAAGAGGAATTACCCCTTCAGTGGATAGATATTTTGTAATAATGAGTATGTCTCGGTTCAAATAAGTGCTTAAAGTGTTTCTAAACCCACAACAGTAAAATCAGTCTGTATATGCAGTAAAGCATGCTTGTTATACTCACTGTGGAACCTAAGGGGTTAATCCTCTGCATTGTGTAAAAAGGATGTTTGATCCTGACTTCTCTGATCCTCCCCTTCTTCCAGTGTTCCCCTCTTGTCTCCTGATAAGACATATGTGGAGAAACCTGCACATGCTCAGTTTGATGTGCATTGCTAGAGAGGTTTTTTTTTTCTTGGGAGAGTGCATGTGATCAGCACAGGGCCAGTCAGCACTGTCCAGACAGAGGTCAGGGGTCCTGCATCCTCCTAGAGCAGAAATAAAACTCCTCCTACAAGCTTTAACCAGTGCTCAGCCAGACACTGATAGAAGTCACAAGATTGCTCTAACTGATGATGAGAAAAGGTATTTAGCAGTTTATATTTACTAAAATAATTGCACTTCCATGTTATGTGTACTGTGGGAGGCAGGATCCTGGATTTAGTAACACTTTAAAGCAGTACTAAACCCAAAAGCAAACATTTACTATATTGCAACTTCTTAGATGTGATGGCTGCATTGGTTTTAAGTTTTCTTTTTTTTTCACCTGCTGATTCTGCCAGAAAGTCTATTGTTTTTCAACAGAACAAGCTCACAGAGCGTTGAGACAAACCATTTACAATTCATAAGGGTTTCTTACAATGATCAGCTTTTATGTATTTACATAATACCTTTATCCCAAAAGAGAAATAAAAATGGTGCAGTTACTGCCTGTGTACTGTAACTGCAGTGTAAGCTGGAGTTTGGCTTCAATCTGTTAGTGTATCTAAATCTGCTAGTACATCTAACACTCCCCTCCCCCAAGACTGACAATGCTGCTGTCCAAAGAAACCCCTATGAATCTTCATCCAGCATGTAGGCACTCTAATACAGGAGGTGTTTAACTGGCCAGATCACCAGGTGAAAACAAATGGAAAGCTTTAAAAAGAAAATAAACGCAGCCACCCGTCAAATGATTGGTAAACTGCAGTATATTACATATTTGGTTTTGAGTTTAATACTGCTTTAATCGTTCTCTGAAGTCAGCCCTTACATGCCCTAGGTATTGCAAGCAATGCTTGAATCAGTTGCATTGCTTGGAAATGCAGTATAAGGTCACAGTAAACTGCAATACATTTTTTTCTTGGGTTTGGATACACTTTATGCCTGCCTAAACCTTATATACATTTTATCTAATTATGTAATGATGACAAAATAGACTGCTTTCTATTTTAATGATGAGCATCTTATAAAACATCAAAAAGATGAAAAATATATGTCACAAATTGCTTAAAAAAATAACGTCTGGGGTGGGAGGCATTTGTTGGGCTGCTCAGCAGAGAGAATGATTTGCAGTTAGTGGCAGGTGCTGAGCATTATGGGGTTTATTTACTAAAGCTGGTTCTCTCAGAATCTGGTGCAGCTTCTAACCTCTATATATATATATATATATATATATATATATATATATATATATATATATATATATTGTATGTTGAAATGTGTTTTTATTACAAAATATATGAAAAATATTTTTCAAATATATTATATGTCTTTAAAAATACAAATCTACATTTTTGAAATGCATTTACATATATACAGGGCTTTTTTTCTCAGAGGAAAGGTGGTGGAACTCCCCAACCCAAACCTGGCCACGCCCCCATCAAACCCTAGGACCACCCCTTTAGAGAACAGGAATGCAAGTAAAATTTGGGAGGGGCTATAAAAGTAAATGTATGGAATTAACACCGCCCCCGCCACCCCCCCCCCCACATTAGTAAGAATAGCGAGTAACACTGCCCCCCCCCCACATTAGCAAGAAAAGCGAGAAAAATTGTATCGCCGCTCCTTACCTGATGCTGACGATCCGCGCTATGGTAGGATCGACGAGCAGAGGGCGTGATGACGTCAGCGCGCACCGCCGGGTGTACTAAGATACACCTTTCCTATGGGGGTGGCCGCGCGCCCCCGATGTTTACACGCTGGCGGTAGAGGGGGGGGGGTGAAGCGTGCATGTCCCCGCTCACGGCTGTGAGCAGCGGCAGTGACAGGTGCCGGGCACGCGCAAGCATGACATAAACAAGCCGCGTCCGGCACCTGTCACTTTCGCTGCTCTGCATAGCTTGTCAGCTCTGCAGAGGCAGTCGGTGAGCGGGGACAAGAAGAAAAAGGTGGCGGAACGCAGTACCGCCGCGTTCCGGCAGAAAGAAAGCCCTGCATATATATGTAAAAATATATGTTAAAATAACTTTTTTATATGTTAAAAAAAATCTGCAGAATATATCATTTTAAATATATTCTTCAGATTTTTTTTAACATAAAAAAGTAATTTTAACTTATATTTGTAAATGTATTTGAAATGTATTTTAAAAATATTTTTCATATATCTTGTAATAAAAACACATTTCAACATACAGTATATATATACATATTTATTGAAATATATTTTGAAATATATTGAATATGGCCAAAATTGTAGCATTTCAAATATATGTCAATATATTTGGGAAGAATATTTTTAAAATATATTTCAATTATATTTTTCTTTCATATGGGTAATTAGCTACTCCCTGTTCAGACCTGTGATCACAGAACCTGATAAACCTGACTGTGGTTCTGGGATGTTATATAAATGGGTGTTTAGAAATGCAAATAAATCTGTCCCTAGCATGAAAGAGACACTTGGCTGGGTTTGTCCTCCAGGCCAAAGGTCCTCCCCATGTGATGTGCAAAGTTCAGAAACAATAGTGACCTACAGAAAAGTGCTTTCTAACCCATATGACCATAAGATTAATTTTGGCTGTCTCCTAGGTGTCATTGAAGTTTGCACTTCATATCGGTTTATTTAGTGAATAAGCCCATTACCCTTAACACAATATGAAGATGTCTGAAGCTTTTAAAATGAAAGACAATTATGTTACAAGTAGGTTTGCCGTAAGACACCTGAAAGGAGTTACATTGGTGGTGACATAGGGGTTGATTTACTAAAACTGAAGAGTGCAAAATCTGGTACAGCTCTGCAAAGAAAACAATCAGCTTCCAGGTTTTCTTTGTCAAATCTAAAAGTGGTTCTTCACCATGAAAAAAAAAATTTAAAGCCAGCAGCTACAAATACTGTAGCTGCTGACTTTTAATTATAGGACACTTACCTGTCCAGGGATCAAGTGCTGTCCTTGCCCTATCTGGCACTTTGTCTGCTTTCAGGCCGCCATGTTTAGTTTGGGAAACCGACTGTGACTGCTGGCTGCTTCACGGCCAGCTTCCCACAGTGTGTGTGTACGCTACAATGCACTGCGATTTTTGTATGGTCCCTAAGCTTTCTGGAACCTATAACATGTCCCTGAAGACTGGAGGGTAAGGAAGGGAGGCCAAACTTCCGCTTGGACCACCTCAGCGGGTTTTGACAAGTACCCACCCCTCCACCCCAAACAAATAAAGAGGAGGCAGAAAGTGGAATTTCCCTTTTTGGGTGAAGTTCCGCTTTAATTGAACAGGCTGAAGGTAGAAGCTGATTGGCTACCAAGCACAGTTGATCAGATTTTGCACTCTCCAGTTTTAGTAAATCAACTCTATAGTAGATTTAACATGAAGGAAATCACTGCTCCAGGTGAGACACCATCAGCCTTACACAGTTCCCGTGTGGGTGTCCACCATGGCTCGCCACCACAATACTGTGAGAAAAGAAAGGATTGGCTGTATCCCATCGTAGAGCCATTCAGTCATTTATTCCATCAATTTCCAAAGGACAGCATAAGGATACAAAGTAGCAGTATGTTGTTGACACATTTCACACAACAATAATGGATAAGCACAGCTTTGTAGAAAAAAAAAAAACAGGGCGCACTCTCCTCGTGCATTAATACAATATACAAAAATGTATTAAAAAGATGCAAACATACTCACAAGCCATAAAGGGAGTTCGACTCCCCAAACACGTTAGCACTTTACCCGAGGATGCATGCTGTCCGCGATTGGCACCTTTGACTTCTTGTCTCTGTTTTTATGACCTTTATGGCTTGTATGTTTTTGCATCTTTTTAATACATTTTTGGTTATTGCATTAATGCAGGAGGAGAGTGCGCCCTGTTTTTTGTTTTTTTTCTGCTAGTATTAAGATTCCCCAATCTATCAAGGGCGGCACCTCAGCAAGTGCACGATTCCATTTTGAGTGCAGCAAGAGAGATTTGCACGCCGGTTTCTGGTTGCCATTGAAGCACAGCTTTGTGTGAAATGTGTCAACAACATACTGCTACTTTGTATACTTATGCTGTCTTTTGGAAGATTGATGGAATAGATTATTGAATAAGTTATTGAAAATCTCTACAGTGGTATGCAGCCAATCCTGTCTTTTCTCATGGTAGATTTAAATACGGTTGTCGATAATTTCCTACATACATATACCCCAAAATTAGAAGCTGTGGAAAGTTATAGCATTCAGTCAGAATAATTGCTTTCATTCTCTTGTCTAGTCTCTCCTTGCTGTGGTATACTGAACCTTTGCATGTTGCCGCTTTGTTGGATAGGTAAACCTGCTTCCGGCTCATATGGTGACATTTGGTACTGGGGAAGGGGTAGGACAGAAAGAACGGCAATTTCTGTGACATTAAGTTTGTCAGCTTTCAATGATCTTCCAGGTGCTTATTGTGGATGCATGACGGTTTATAGCTAATCTCTCTCAGCATGAACACAAATGAATGAACATGTTGCACTATAACCTTTGCTTGCATTTTAAGGCTTATTTTCTCTTTTCTTTTTCCTGTGCTTAATTTTATTTTTCTGCTTGTAATCTGCTGGCTTCTGAAGGCTGTTAAAAATATGGTTGGAGTGGTAAGTACATGACAAATTTAGATTCACTAATTAATCAGACAGTCAGTATTATCCCATCTCTTTCTTGTCTATGTACAGTAAAATAAACACAGATACGGGCGTTCTAGTGATACAAAATAACAAAACAGAACAATCCAACTCTTGGGAGCTTAATAGCAGATCTTGGCAACTCTCGCTGACAGGTAGTCAGTTTGACAGATTACCGTGAATTCTACAACATACATTTTGTTCACATTACTTGTTGCCAGATTGAACCAAACTTTGCTTTTCCAGGACAATTTGTTGGGAAGTCTGAAACGTTTGCAGGACAAAACTAGGAATGTCTGAAACATTGAAAATATACCTAAAGTAACTTTGTAGGGTAGGTGAGAGTTAAAACCGTCAGCAATCTATGGTGTCCTTTTATCATACAGCAGTAAATGATCGCTGCTCAGTTCTCCGGCATTCTCAGAGAAGAGAGTTCTCCTCTGAATGCCTTTTTATGAAGCGGTGTAGATCACTTCTCTGAATGAGGAGAGAAGCGATCTACAAATGCTTGAACGCTGGAAAATGGCTGCTGTTACTGTAATCTCGCGAGGTTACAGTAAGAGATCAGTCAAACACCGTTTACTAAACAGCTGTAGATTATCGCTGCTTCATTTGCGGTTCCGCTGATTCTCTAGCTCTGGGCTGGAGAATCTGGAGGGAGAACACAGATCTCCAGTGAAGGGCTGATATAGCTCCTTCATATACTGGCCATCTGTTTGCTGAGATGATCAATGGAGAACATGTTTTCCGCTGATCATCTCTGTTTCCTAAACCACTAATGATCGGAGATCAGCAATGATCCTTAGGATCGCCGCTGATCTCTGTTTCATAAAAGGACACATGTCTCATTAGGTAGATTTATCTTCAAGTGAGAGGACATGCTTTTAACGAGAAATCTTCTTGTCATGGGAACAAGTGTCCCAGTAGAAGATTTCTCTGGAGTTTGTGGCAACTCAAAATTTTGGATTTACTCTTGCTTTCATTCCTTGTAACACCAGGGATGAGGACAATTAACCTCTTCATCGGCAGTACTCCCGTCCAACCGTTTATCGACATGGACTGGACAGGAGTGCTGCCGATGCGGGTGGATGTTTCTAAGCGTCCCCTCGCATCCATTGCCTATTTTTTAAACGAGTTTCCTCCTCAATAACAGGAAGTTGATGCTCTTGGGGGTGTGTAATAGTTGCTGCCATAGTTTCAAATTGAAAATGTGAATTTATTTGCCATTTTAGAAAAGCATTGCTGGCTATAGATTGAAATGAAAAGATAATATTTGTTAATATTAAAATGGCTTGTATAGCAACCATAAAATACATTTTCTAGTTATACCAGAAGTGGAGTTTTCCCTTAGATCAGTGGTCTCCAAACTATGGCTCTCCAGGTGTTGAGGAACTGCAAGTCCCATGAGGCCTTGCAAGACTCTGACAACCACAGGCAAGACTCCCAACAGCTGGAGGGCCTAGTTTGGAGACCCCTGCTTTAGATAAATGTATAGTTGCTTCATCTATATTAGTTCATATTTACTTTTTAAAAAGAGAATTGCATGTCCTTCAGTAGGTAAAACTGTTCATGCACATGTATTTCCACTTTTAGATGTTTGCTTGGAGCTTAGCATTAAAGTTGAACTTTGGTCAGTTGCAAAAATTCTCCTTTGGTAACTAAACCCATATAAGTTTAGGTTCACACCTATGCAGGTTGCATTTGTTGTTTCTGCATTTTTTTCGCAGTTGCGATTTTGCTGCCTTTTTTGATGCGTTCTGCCTTTTTGTTTTTTTCTTTCATTTTGTTTTATTGTTCTTGTTGCTAGGCAGATTTTAAACACAAAACGCATCAAAAATCCAACAAAAATGAAATACATGCTTTTCTGCAGCATTCCCATTGAAGTCTATAAAAACAAAAACGCAATGTTAAATGGACTGTACTGCGTTCATGCAAAATGCACAAAGCTGCAGAAAATGCATAGGTGTGAACCTAGGGTAAAACTGTAATGCTTGTTTGGTCTGGGGACATAAAACAGAGAGGAATGCTTACTATTTCCTAGCAGCCTGAGGGACACTTGTAGCCAAGCATTTAAGTTTATGGTGGTAACTTGGAAAAATGATACCATCTGACTGTTGGATTGTGCCTAAAACTAGCACATGGGTTTGGAAAATCATGGTATTATTTGCACTCCTGACCAACCTACATGTTATTAGCCAGTGACATAGAATATGGTTAAGCCATTGTATCAGTATGATTTAGGGAACTAAATCTCAGAAGAGGTTAGTCATGGCAGCCTCCATGCTTCTTCTCTGCTGGCTTCTTTTATTCTTTGGTGTACCCATGATCACAGTATGATCATTGTTTTCTTATTTTCTTTTCTTCTTTAGCTCCATCAGGTCCTGGTTCAGTTGCAGACAGACAAGGAACATGACTTTTCTACAGTCCCAATCCAGGTGTCCATCAGTGTTCAGCTTTGGAGATTACCTGGATGCCATGAGTTTTTAGCAGCACTAGGTATGTCATTTAAAAAAAAAAAAAAACTGAAAAAGCCACGTCTGCCTTTTACCAGTGTTTAGGTAAAATTCCTCACACTAGTGCAGAAATGAAGACATTGGGTAAGGAATGACAGCTGCTTCTTCTATCAATGAATATGCTAAAGATTTAAAGTATAATTCTACGTTTGCAGTCAAATTTTACAAAACCCCACTACATGTTTGTGTTGCCATTCACATAGCATACCTGAAAAAACACATTTGTACACACAGTGTTAAAGATATATAGTCATATATACAGGTTTCTACATATATCAGTTTATTGTTGTATGTTGATTATATGTTGATCTTTAACACTCCTTTAATTTGAATCATATTTTGTCCTTCTTTCAGGTTTTGATTTGTGTGAGGTGGGCCAGGAAGAAGTCATTCTGAAAACTGGCAAACAAGCCAACAAAAGAACAATGCAATTTGCTCTGCAATCACTCTTGGCTCTTTTTGGTACTATTTTATTATGTAATGTTTGTGATTTAGACATTAACCAGATGACCAAAACTAGTGAGTGCTCAGCATTTTTAGTTCCTTGATCTCCCCATAGTTTCAGCAATATTCCAGTGCTGATTCCATGGACAATGATAATTCCTGCAGCATATAGCACAAGAAGGAGATGATTTAAAACAGAGAGGACATGCTAAAACATTGCAATGATTACTGCACACTCCGATCTGCATCTTACATTTAATTCAGGTGGAATAAGGTCAATTGTATATTGCAAACATTCCAACAAGATACAAACAGGCCCGGCAGGTGAGCACAGCTGACCGGAGCCACTTACAAAACACACAGCAGTGATTCTGTAGCTTGGAGAGGTGTTGGAGTGTGGCCTGGCCAATCCAACCTATCTGGAAGGCTTCTATAGTCAGAATAATGTAGTCCCTGCACTTTCCCTACTCCTGCGGAACCTTTCGCTGCCACTAAGTGCTGTCTCTAACAGGCGGGGAACCTGCCCCTACACTAGTCACTCGCACAATGTGCACCAACTCAGGGGGCTAGGGGCTTAAATAAATGTTGCCCTCACCCAAGATGGCCACTGAGCTCACATGGGGCCCAGTGTCCAATCAGACAGCTGCTCCCAGGTTACCATAGGAAACCATAGTGGAACTAAGTTCTCAGGACTTCCTTTCCCTTTTTGTGTTGGGCAGACTGCACCTGCCTATATGCGAAGTGTTCTCAGCCTGTTGATGCAAAGAAAACGTCCACGATAGATGCCAAAGTCATATGACAATTTTCCTTCTCTTCTTCCAAGAATTTTTTTTGTTCTTGTTTTACCAAAATGAATGGGACTTCACTTGCTTGAGAGTTCTAAGGCAAGCAAAGCTGAAAGCTCATTCACAAAGCACAATACTGTGTTCTATTATTTTCTTCTTTAAAGCCTTTAGGCCATACTGCTGCTTTTTAGCCCCCTAGTGCAGATATTTAAGATGTTTTTCAATGGCTTTTTTGATATTTGCTTAGGCTTCATTCATACTATACTTTTTATGAGAACATGTGTTACTTGTTTTAAGAACAGTTACAAAAACTCCTGTGTACATTGATTTCATTCAAAAATATTCACAAATCATTTTTTTTTTTTTTTAGATTCTACTGAGCTTCCAAAACGCCTTAGTCTTGACAGCTCTTCGTCACTTGAATCACTGGCATCTGCACAGTCTGTGTCTAACCCAATGTCACTAGGGTATCCTGGCCATCCATTCTCTCCATCCTGTCCAGATAGTTTGGCTTCAGATGCTATCTCAGTATACAGTCTAAGTTCCATTGCTTCGTCGATGAGTTTTGTCTCTAAACCAGATTGCTTACCTGAAGGAGAACACAAACTACGTCAAGACCTTGACAGACCAAAAAATATTTATTCTCTCAGGACCTCAGCTAGAGGCCAGTCTTCCCCACAAAGCCAGATGTCATTAGGCAAAGAAGAACAGGAAGAGTATGAGGGATTTTCCATAATAAGCAATGAACCTCTTTTGTCATACACAGAAAGCCTTGATCCAAATCTTAGACAAGGCATCATTCAGGAAACAATACAAGTTTCTGTAAACCCAAAGGGCAGTATAAGCACACCTAACTCACCCGTTAAACTAGCTCTGATTCCAAGTCCAAACTCACCATTCCAAAAAGTTGGAAAACTTGCAAGCTCTGATACTGGGGAATCAGATCAGTCCAGTACAGAAACAGACAGTACAGTTAAATCTCAAGAAGAAAACAATCCTAAACTCAATCCTGAAGAGCTGGCTCAAAAGATTTTAGAAGAGACTCAAAGCCATTTGATTGCTGTTGAACGTCTTCAAAGAAGTGGAAGTTTGAACAAAACAAGTCATTCACCTGATGGTGCTACAACACCAAATGGCAGTTCTTTGTTCAGGTCTTCAGAAACAAGCGCTTTTAGTAGACCTGTCCAGAAAGGGATGCCGTCTCCAGTTACTGTGAAACCAAAGCCTCCAACTAGAAGTTCCTCTCTTCAGAAGGTGAGCTCAGGGTATAACAGCCCAGCAAACTCTGAAACCTCTCTAAAAGAAGCAGCAAGTCTCCACAGTAACCAGCCTTCCCCAAGTTCAGATTCTCCCCATTTCAAATTGAAATATCCTAGCTCCCCGTACAGTTCCCATATTTCAAGATCTCCTCGAAATATATCCCCAAGCTCAGGTCATCAATCTCCTGCAGGAAGTACCTCATCTCCAGCGCTTTCATACTCCTCTGCTGGTTCTGCCCGATCAAGTCCCGCTGATGCTCCAGATTTGGATAAATTAAAACTTGCTGCAATTGATGAAAAGGTGAAGGCTATTCACAATCTGAAGATGTTCTGGACAAGTAGCTCCCAGCATACATCAGGTCCAATCAAAATACTGCGTGGAACTCCAGGAACAATGACTTCAAAGAAAGACGTTCTTAGCTTGTTAAATCTTTCTCCACGACATAACAAAAAAGAAGAGGCTGTAGATAATCTTGAACTTAAGGAACTATCTGCTCAGAAAAAGCAGGTTGATGCTACACAGCCAAATCCACCAAATGGACACAAACACTCAGAAAACATTAATGTAGCAAATATAACTCAATCTACCCCGTCTATTAACATGCCTGCTTCTCTACGCAGCTTAAAACTGTCCTCTGGAAATGGGTACAAGTTCCTTTCACCAGGGAGATTTTTTCCTTCTTCAAAATGTTGAACTGTCTTTTATACAACTTTTAAGCTTGTATTGCCATTTGTATATTGTTTATGTCCAAATGCCTTCATAAGTGACAGACTAAAATATTACATGCGAAGCAGAGGTTATAATGGTTGTCATTAAATCATAGGGTGAGGATGCTTCTAAGGTTTACCAAAAATTACATTCTGATGTACTTGTGTATAAAAATAACCATTCAGTAGCAACTTAGGTAATCACAATAAATTAAAAAAAAAATTATCTAAAGTTGGATTAATATTTTCCAAGATTGTTTTCCATTTTTAAATAACCAGAGAGAAGTAATTATCATTGTTTGTATTTTAGTAATGGTTTTCTAGAACAGTAGACCAACACTGTTTTACTACTTTAGGTATTGTGGTTCCTTGGGTAAATACTTCATGTTAGACATTTCAAGCATTGCATAGTGAATTATATTTATTTTTCGTAGGTAGGAAAAGCTCTTATGTGATCTGATCTCAAAGTGTGTGTCAACCCTAAGCCTCTGTTCAATATGTTTAGCATAATGCTTCACTGTATACAATTTTCTTTTACAATTTTGTTTAACCACTTTAGGATTTCTGACATATATCCTACATCCTGCCTTGTAGTGCTGAACAGCTGCCTGATCACTTTTACACCGCAAACAATGTGCTGCCCCCCTCTGTGGTTCCCAGGCTCTCCTGCTCTTCCCAGGAGTCTAAGACCACAATAGACACTGTCAGGACAGTGAGCTGGAATACATCAAAGAACATCTTTTGCAAAGTGTCCTCTGCTGAGTGTAGACCTGGAAGCACTCATCTCTGAGCACTTTCAGGTTTGCAGCTGTCATAATTGCAACTGCAAATCTTGGTAAACAGCATATCAAGCACAGTCTCAACACCATTTTCATGTGTGCACACAGTTTTGTCATATTTGGTACCTATTGACTCAACACAACCTCAGCTTTAATTTTTTCCAAAATTGTGTGCATTAAAATTTATTTTAGTGTATTTTTTTATTGAAACTATAGAATTTATAAAAAGTTGCGCAAATATTGTGTAAAATAAAAAATTGCAGCTACCAACTTTTTATTCTTTAGGGTCTCTGCATTCAGAAAATATGTTTTGGGATATTAAGTAATTTTCTAGCCAGAAATGAAAATTTTACTATGTGTAGAAAGTGGTTAGGTCTGTTGCAAAGTTTCTTTCTTGGAGATCCTGACATTAACAGTACATACCATAGCAGGCTGACAACACTTACTCACTGACTCGCAGTTAGCAGCAGTATGAGCTCCTTTAGTTGGTCATTGGGCTGCTTATCTGCTTACATAGATCTGTTAGGCAGCCCAACAGGCAACTGAAGAGAACACATGACAAGCTGACAAATCTGAAGCTAATTGAGAGGCAGTGGCTTAGGGACTCTGATTACAGTGAGACTTGATGCCAAACTGAAAAATAGATTTTGGGTTTACATAACCTTATGTGTTGTTTACAAAGGCTATGTACAGAGACAAAAAGTAAAAAAAGTGTAAAATGCAACAGTAATTACACTTTCACTTTAGGTCAGGGAGCAATGAATTGTGATCAGCTGCTGTGGGTAACTTTTATATTTCATACTGTTTTTTGCCTTATTTAAAAAAAAAGCTTGTATGACCATCTACATGATTTTATGCTCTCTGAGTATAAGCCACTTCCAAGCAAGGAATCTCATTTGCTGCTTGAGTGGACATTTATGTAGATATGCATATAGTGTACCTGGTAGATCACAGGTAGGCAATGGCTGCATTTTCACCATAGCACCCCAAGAAGGGAGTTGTGCTTTGTGAGTACCCCCAAGAACTGTCCTTAGTGGCACTGGGCATTTGAGAGAGAGCCATAGAACACTAGAGTATGGATTATGTTGGTCATTCTCAATATATCCCACACTAAATCATGGGCAGAACCCAATAAGTAGTCTTTAGCGTGAGGTCAGCTGGCCACTTCCTCTAAGCCACCCCTGGAGAGATTTGTACAGACAGTCATTCGTAAGGTCCATTTGGGCAGGAAAGTCCTGTTTGTGGTAAGAAGAAGTAATGAATTTGACCTCTAAAACATTGTGTTTGATAATTACTATGGGCCCTATGTATCATCAGGTTCTTATTAAGGTCTGGTTAGGACAGGTTTTTGTCACTGTTTTTATTTTAAAATTTATTTTAATCAAAAGTAAAATGTAGCTTTTCAATTACAGTTTTTTTAATTTGTTTATTATACCATAAAGCTTATTTTATGCAGAATCATTCGTTCAAACATATTTAGTGATGAAGAAATCTTATCATAATTTACCCAAAATCTGTAATTAACTCTAAAACCCATTCTAAGAATAAATAGGATATATTTTCTATGAATCTGAGCTTGAAAACCAAGGCATTCTCTTCTGTTTTATTTATACATGTGTCAAAACACAGTTGATGAATCTTCTATAAAAAAAAACATCTGACAAAAAAGACAAACTGATTGATGTCAAGATAAATACAAAGTTTGTTTCTATAATCCTCCAAAGATTACTAATTGCAGGTATGATAATCAGAGAAGTTTTCCAGCATGATGAGGTAAACATTAATATCCGTGTATCTTACTGACAGCAAAGTAAAATCCAAATATTAAGAAATGGGCCTAAGGAGCTATTTTAGTTTAATGCTAATGGGGTGACATAATCATTTGTTGCACTTTGGTTGATTTGATTTACCAGCAAGGCTACAACTTTTTGAGAATAAAATCACCACTGATTTAGTTATAATTGGCACTGAAATCATTTTGAGACTTTAATGAAAATTAATTAATTAAAGGTGATCATTGTGTAAGTGCTGTTTTTCCAAGGCATAAATGTTAATGGTCATGGCACAATATGTCATTTAAAGTAGAACTATAGGTAAAACTTTTTTTTTCTTTTTGGATAGAGCAGCCTTTCTCAACTTTTTCAAAACAGAGGAACCCTTGAAATAACTTTCGGGCCCCAGGGAACCCCTGCTAAAATTACTATATCTACAACTCATGATACATTAGTGTGATAGTCAGTGGAAAGAAGGCTTCATACACCTGTGGTCATTGGGAAAAAACGACCCCCTTACAGATAGCTAAAAAGATCAATGATGTCAGTGGGAACTTATCTGAGAGACAGAAATTGCTCATTGCTCAAGGAACCCCAAGTAACCTCTGAAGGAACCCTATGATTCCATTGAACCCTGGTTGAGAACTCCTGTTAGATTTTTTTGTCACCATCTGTGTCCCATTGCGGAGATTTGTCTACACTTCCTGTCCCATAGCCAATCAGGAAGTGAGAGGAAATCCTTACAAATTAAGGGAGTTTTTTTGGAAACCCCCAGTTTACCAGAACTAGCATTCCCATTGGAAGATTTCTCCTCTATTACTTTTCTGGGGGAAAACCCAAAACTTGGGATTTTCTTTTATTTCACTTCAATAATAATGGTAAACAGGACACATAGAGAGGGCAAATCTCCCTAACAGGGGCACAGACAGCTATAAAAACCTGACAGGTGTTCTAATCCACCTCTACTCTAGCCAAAAAAAAAAAGTTTTGCCTTTAGTTATACTTTAAAGAGTGCCTTTATTATTTATTGTAAGTTCGTTTTATAATCTACCTGAAGAGTTATCAAGCACCATCTGTAATCATAAAAAAGTTTAAAGGTGCTATGTCCTGCAAGATACAAGCTTTCATGCTATCACCAACTACAACCAAGCGGCTGTCCAGTGATTTCTTTTTTCCGCATACTGGTGGGGAGGCAGCCTTATCAGGGTGCTTCTGCATTCTTTTCCTAAAGTTTATGTACAGAAACACCTGATCAGGAAGTTATCTGCCATGCACACACACCAATACATTAGTTTTAGAAAGCATTACACCCAATCAGGTTGTTAGATTAGGGAAATATTATATCTATGGGTTACTTAACTTGGCTCTTCATCATTGCCCTTTGCAGTCCTGCAGAGAATACGTCTGTTGGTGTTGGTTTGATTGCATGTAAACTAATATCAAGCTAGGAAAAGTTAAGACTGGCTTAGCAGTATGTTCCATGTTTAATCTATAGCTGCCTTAGCAATGCTCCCCCACCACCCCAAGCTGCAGGCACAATTTCCTGAACAGGTTATGACTTTCGCAAAAGTAAAAGGTGCTCGGTGCTATGTACTTCCCACCATCCTTATGTGACGCTACTCAAGCTTGGTGCACTAGATCCACTGCAGTTCATCAAACATAAAATGGTTAGTTTTCATTAGCTCAATGTGAGAAAGTGTCCAGCGGCAGTTTTTTGTCTCATGGGGACCAATGTTTTATAAATGTACATGTTAGCCAGAATGGTAAAAGCAGCTGAGTCTTGTGTTGTCCTAGAATTACACTGAATCACTTGCCTACCGGGCACTTTTACCCCCTTCCTGCTCAGATCAATTTTCAGGTTTCAGCACTGTCATACTTTGAATGACAATTGCGCAGTTATGCAACACTGTACCCAAACTAAATTTTAAGCATTTTTTTAGACAAATAGAGCTTTCTTTTGGTGGTATTTATTCACCACTGGGGTTTTTATTTTTTGCTAAACAAACTAAAAAAGACCAAAAATTTTGAAAAAAATGTTTTTCTTAGTTTCTGTTATAAAGTTTTGTAAATAAGCAATTTTTCTCCTTCACTGATGGGCACTGATAGGCTGCACTGATGGGCACTGATGAGGAGTCACTGATGGGCACTGATGTGGCTGCACTAATGGGCACTGTTAGGTGACATTCATCGGCACTGTTAGGCGGCACTGATAGGCAGCACTCATAGGCGGCACTGATTAACTGATGGGCACTGATTGCCAGCACAGATGGGGGCATTAATGGCCGCACTGATGGGACTACACTGATCACCAGGACACCAATGATCAGTGCCCTGATGATCAGTGTAGATGTCCCCCTACGAAATGCCGCTTACCGACTCTCTTCTCCTCACGCGCTGTCAGCGTGAGGAGAGGACTGCCGATAATCTGCATTTCC